GATAAAAGGTAACAGAAAGTGGTAATCAGCAGCTGGAGCGTCTGCTGCCGAGGCCTCTGGCAGACAGCCCCTCCGCTCTTGGAGGCCATGAACCCTGTCTTGGCTCTCCACATCTGGATGCACCTGTTTCTTGGACAGAGAAGTCTGCCTCCCCACCTTTGCCTGCTCTCTGGTCTCACCATGGCCCAACTGGTGGGACCTACCTGGCTTCCTGATTGTCTGGATCCCGTGTATCTCTTTCCCACTGTTCCTGGGTGGCTGCTTCTGGCTAGTGGCCAGAAACAGTGATCAGGAGAAAAGGCTGCTTGATGACCCATCTGAGCAGAGGGATGCTCGCCTGCTGTGAATTAGTGAGGAATAAGATAGGTCCCAAGGGAGACTTGGTCACAGAGAGGCACGAATGATGTTCATACTTGGTTCTAGAAGAAAGGAAAAGCCTCTGGCAACCTTAGGAAAGGTCAGCAGCTGGAAGCGTGAACTAGGGGTAAGAATGGTGGGCCCAGGAGGGGGTGTGGATCTAGCTAAAGAGAAGTAGCAGGAGGCTGATCAGTGATCCAGGCGAGGGCCTGGGCTACGGTGGGAGTGGGGCAAAGGCAGAAACGTTTCAGAGGGGAGTCTTGTTGGCAGATTGGCTCTGAAGGCTGAAGGCGAAGGAAGATGTGAAACCGACACCTAGGCCAGGAGTTGTCCATCCCAACATGAAGCTATCGTCATGTTCTTGCTGGCAGCTGCTTGGACTGAGGCAATGAGTAAAGACTGTTTTTGCCTGAGCCATTCTCCTAATCAAACGAAAGCGTCACTCCAGGCCAATTTGATGTGCGGAATGTCGAGTTTACGAAACAGATGAAATAGTGAACTGATGTATCTCACAGAAGGGGAGGCCTTTGCCCTTTGCTTGGGCCACAGATGTCTTCTCTTCTTCCTTCTTTCTCCTTTCCTGCTCTCCTCCCCACAAAGGAGAACAAACAAACCGCTAGCGGCATAGGCCACACTTCCTTGTCTGTCTTTGCCTTTCCCTGCCCTCATCTGCTGTTTCCTCCACTTACCCGGGCTCCTGAGCTTCCTCTCAAACCTTCTTCCCTCTGGGCTTTTAACGGGCCCTTGCTGAGAAAAGCCAGCGTGGGCCTGACCAGCAGTGAGTCCCTGCTCCTGTGGCCTGCATGTGTCAGAAAGTGGCCAGGGCTGCTGTTGCTGCAGGATGCACCCCCAGACCCCTTGCCCAAGAAAGGGAAAGAGAGTGAACAGTTTGGGGGCTAAAGGCCCTAGCTCAGGGATCAGGAAGACTAAGTCTTGTGACCTTCCTGAGGCTCAGACTTTACATGATAAAATGGGAATGGTCATAGCACCTCCCCATAGAGTTGCTGTGAGGCTGAAGATCACGGAAGTAGTTACAGCTCTGCATAGTTCCAACGTCACACCTTGCCTACTTCCTTTGGCAGTTTGCCTAAACTGCCCTGGCAGAGGAAAAGCCATCAGCAGGTGTATGGCAGAGCAGACAGGGTGAACTCTGGCTGATCCAGTCCCAGTGAGGACCTGGACTATGTGCAAGGCCCTACAAACTGCCACAGCCATCCATGCCCCTCTTGGGAAGCAGTCTAATAAAAAGAATCAGAGACTTCTCTTCTGTGAACTGTGAGAATGTTTCCCCTGGTGCTGATCCCTTTCTGTGCGCACTAGCAATGTCCAGATTCCAAGTCAGAAGGAGCCTGCATCCTCCTTGAATCCCTTCTCCTGTCCTCTAAAGTAAAGAAATTGTGGTCAGGGAGACTACACAACTAGCCCAAGGTCATGGTTTTAAGTTGGTACCTTGACTGAAGGGCAGGGCTCTCTGCAGAACCAAATCACAGATCTCTCTTGCAATGGCAGAGCCCTACCATTAGCAGCTGAGACTGTGGAAACAGACTGGGGTTTGAATCCCAGACTTTGGACCAGTCACTTATCCTCTCAAAGAATCAGTTCCTTCACATATAAAGTGAATGTCCTCACAGTCCAGGAAACACAGAAAGCATTTAGTAAACATGGGGTTGTAGCTGTCATCCACAGACGCAAGGAAAGGAGCCCCAGAGAAACCAGGACAGGTTGGGTCTCATCCCCAAGCTCCGGTATAATCTGCCTTCTTGTTCTCAAGCCCCATGAGCTCACAGAGCTGACTCAGAGTTAGGTATACTGTCTGCATTTTGCCCCATAATTCTAGACCAGATCTTTAAAAAAAATTTTTTTTGTTAAATATTTAAAGCCTACAGTATGTGTGATATACAAAGAATAACAATACAATGAACATGTATACACACCACTCAACTTAAGAAATAGTATACTACCATTGCTTGGAAGTCCTCTGGACCCCTTCACTCCAATCCTGCTCCCTGGAACCATTCACCTGGATTTTACCTTTGCCATTTCCTGGGTTTTACCATATATGTATGCATCTTAAGTAATACAGGATTTAGTTTTACATGTCTTTAACCTTACTATAAATGGAATCATGCTGTATAAGCTTCTTTAGCTTGCTTTATTGCTCAAATTATTTTTATTTATCCATACTGATGCAACTGGAGTTAACTCATATCCATTGTTGGATAGTATTTCATTGTGTGAGTACGCCATAAGTAATTTATTCATTCTCTTGTTGATGAACAATTGAGTTATTTCCAGGGTTTTTTTTTTTTTTTTTTTTTTTTTTTTTTACCTCTTTTAGAAACAGTATGTCAATGAAAATTCTAGCATGTGACCTCGATACACATGGTAAGGAGTGCTCAGCCACATCTATGACTTGTGCTGGGTCATAGGTATGCCTGTCATCCAATCTAATCTGTCATCTAGATAATACCAAAGTGTTTCCAAAGCTATTTCACCTTAGAATTTTACCAGCAGCGTATAAGCATTCCAGATTTTCTTTAAGGTTGGGATTTTCCATTTCTCATCTGTTAATCTAGGGATTAATTAGTTTCCATGTCCACTGTGCCACGTAGATCGAGCTTGAATGTGTATGGTGGTATGTTGTTCTGTGTGTGCCATGGAATCGTGTTGTGTGGCCTCATTCCTTTTACAAGTCATCAGCTAAGACTTGGGGTCATCAGTTGCCATCCTTGCATTGCCCTCTGGGGAAGCCAGTTACAGCTGCAGAGCAGTCAGGGCTGGCCTAGAACGTTAAGCTGTCACGCTACACACCACATGAGGCACAAAGTCCAGCCTGGAAAAGCAGTCTCTCGCTTTCATCATGTCAGACTAAATGCAGTAAAAAGAAGAAAGACAAGTGGCTGTAAAAAGAAAAAGCAGAAGTGTAACTCTTGCCCCCGGCCTTTTTCTCTGGGGAAATAAGAATTTGTCAGCCCAGGTGCTCAGCCAAGTTGTCAGTAGAGAGAAAAATCAAGTGGCCAATGGGATGCACTTAAGGTAATTCAGAGAGAATGAGCTATTATTGTTGCACTCAGCACAGCCTGATTTTCTGATCTTTGGTGACATTATATGCACTTTACCATGCTGGTCTACCTGTTTCTTTGAGTTAAGAACTATGAGAGAGGAGGGAAAGGAGGGAGAGGGATCTTGGGCTCCTTCAGGACACACTGCAAAATAAAAAGTTGAGCTGCTAGATTGGGGAAAATAAATAATGAGAGGGGTCCGGCACTAGCATCGCTCTGGTGCAAGACTGTCCCCTGTCTTGTGGGCCTGGCCAAGCAGAAGAGCCCCACCCTTCAACAGCTCTGACGAGGTTGCTCTTGAAACATCTGGCCAAACCAGAAATTCACAGGCGGTACATGAATGTGAATAATCAAGGTTACCTGGAGAAAGACAGCCTCCGTTTGTACCCAGAAAAGGCTCAGGAAAGAGGAAATCCACCTACAGTTTCCACTGCTACCATTGCTGCTGCCCCTCCTCTCCCCCCGCCTCCTCTGTCTCCTCTTTCCCCCTCTGTCTTCAGCCAGCCTTGGGTCTGTGACAGGAGAGGTAACTGGGAGCCCTCTGCTTTGTCCCTTTGTGTTCTTCCAACCCAGGAGAGATCTGGTTCCCGGTGGCTGCAGGGAAGTATGTGCAGGTACAAAAGGAGCAGTCTCTCTCATTCTCTTCCTCCCTGACCCTAAACTGTCTTCCCCTCTCTAAACGGCCAATAAGCCTGCGTTTTTCAGATTGGGTTGAAGGAAATGTAAAATCTTCCGGGAGGGAAGTAGAGCTCTCCGGATGGATCCAGCCCCTGCAGGTATGGTGCCCTCCTCCTGGCCTCTCCCAACCTGTCTGTGCCTGGCATGCCATGTGGCCCACTGTCACTGGGTCTGATGAGGGGATGAAGTGAGCAGTGGATGAGGACAGGTAGGGACAAAGGCAGGGAGAGGAGCAGCACTCTGCTTTTAGGGCAGGCCTCAGAATGGCCTGATGCCAGAATTGCATCACGAGGAAGTTGTTAGGTTTGTTCTCGACTGACTTTTGGGTACATCCTGGTTTAGTGTGAAAGAATCTGGCTCTCAACAGGGTAACTCCTGACTCTACCAGCCAATGAGGAGGCCGCACATCTTATGGTGGAGAGCTTCTCCCTTTCCCAAGTCACCCATTTCTACCCCCAAATGACCCTGGACAGAGAACTGCCCATCCTATTTCAAATAGAGCTCCAGGAAAAGAGAGACTCTAACTCTCTGAGTAAACTGTTACCACTATATCTCTGCCATCCTCTTATTTATTTTAAAACATGTGGGGGTGGGGGTAGAAACAGTACGAAAATGCCATTTTATATAATGGTTCCATAAGTGGAAAAAGCTTATCCATGACTTTATGCAAATCCGCATAAAGTCTCTGAGAGACATTCAGATGGAATCGATTCTTCTGCTTTTCCTTGAGCCCAGGAAGTTAGCGGTGACAACAGGACACCTGCTGAAAACAGGGACTGTAGGTATTTGGGACAAACAGGAAGAAGTGACCAGCCAGCCCAACTTGGTTCCAAATCTGATTATAAAAGAAAGCAGCTGGGAAGAAATTTGCATGCCCAATAGGTTTCACTATTAAAGTTTACACAACGTGGAGTAATCGCCAAGCTGGCTGGCTACCCGGATCACATGATTACATAGAAACATGAAACTTGACTATGTGCTCGGGCAAGTTTTACTTCTCCCTAGAGCAGGGGTGTTTGCCGGTAGCCTGCACTCTCAGAAACCCGACTCGAGTAGCCAGCACGCTTGAGACCACAGGCTTGCCATGCTGTTCCCTAGCAGGGCCAGGAGCTGCTGACGTTACCGCTGGACAGGCTCTTACAATCACCAAACGGAATGGACAAGCTTAATAAAATAACTGTCCCTGCCAGTCAGAAGCTGAGGTAAGATTTTCCCCGTTCAATAATTAACCTTCTGCGTCTCCTTTTTTCCCCTCGCAATGCTCTTCCTGCATCTTAGAAACACTGAAATCCTGGAGATCTTTGCTAGTTCCCAGTGGGTGGCAATTGCTGTAGGGAAGTGGACTGAGTTTTTGGATAAATGTGTAGGAACAAGTTGGCCTCGCTGTAGCTGGCGTTTACAGTGAAGTGTAAAGTTCTAGAGAGATAATGACACAGAAATGCCAAGGACTTGGATTCTGCTGGAGGACCACTTCCAGAGTCTGAATGCAACAAGTTTTTCTAAGAAAGGATTTGTCTAAACTGAGGTCTCACTCATTTCATTGCAGATTACTATTTAATTTTAAGGATAGCTGGCATCCTTCATGTTCATTGTAGTTTTACTGTCTCATTCATTTTGTGGGTATATTACAAGTGTATTGGGGGTGTTATATCTGTCTTCCCAATGCCCTCACGTCAGTGTAACAATTATCTATAAAAAGCCACTTAGAATAAACTATAAGCGGCTCCAGGGGCATGAGTCAAGGAGCTATGACAAGACAACTTCCCAGATTTTGCTGTTGAAGGTCTTCTTTTTGCCTCTTTGTAACTGCATCATGGCTTTTGAGGATTGGAACTTTTAAATGTTCAGGGAGTGTTTTATATTCCAACTCATATTGGCATTTCATGTTTTTATGGGACTACTATGTGACATGTAACAGATAAATAATCACAAATAATGAGGAGCTAGAGAATTGGAGTTTTCAGGACTACATTTAAGAGAAAGTCTGGAATGGGCAGAGGGATGGCCCATCACAGTTAGAATGCAGGTCTTACACCTAGTATGTGCTGACGGAAGGTGATTCGAAATGAACGACTGGTCCAGCATCAGCAAGGAGCATTGGTGGCTGCCAGCCATTTCCAGGGCAGGATGCCGGAGGCTGCTGTGGGGTCAGCACTGACAGCCACAAGAAGGCACCTCGGTCTTGCCCTTGGTCTCAAGTTGCTAGACCCTCATGGGTGTGTGTGTGTGTGTGTGTGTGTGTGTGTGTGTGTGTGTGTGTGAAACAACAGGAGCCATAAGTGGCTCAGTGAGTATAAGAAGAGAATTGGGGAAGATGGAAGAGGTTCCATGGAGAAGGTAAAAAGTAGTTGTAGGAATGGAAAAAAAGCATTACAACTGGGAAGGAGGAAATAGAGAAGCTGGCACTCGGAGCTGGGCACAGTCCAGTCCAGCCGTAGGACTATGAGGAGAGTTTTCTGCCCAACAGAGGCTACGGAGTGGGGCATTTGGGCCCAGAGGTCCTGGTAAGGTTGGACACGTCATTGGGTGGGGCCAGACTGCAGATGGCAGTGCTAACCATAGGGAGTTGGAGAACAGGTTGTGCTGTTGGAGGTGTCATACCTGCAGTTTAAGGAGCTAGGCAGGATGTATGGGAGGGGGAGGGCAACTGGAGGGGGAATGGGCACTTAAGGAACCGGAGCATTTAGAGTTGTAGGCCTGGACTTTGGGCACAGCAATGACAAGGGAAAGGGAGGGAGAGATAGGAAAGATGTGGCAAGAAACTAACAAGGCATGATATCAGGGCCTCTCTCAGATGAGCAAGAGGGTTCCAAATGTTCTTTTCAGACATGTTCCACAATCTAGAGCTCTACAGAGCCTTCGAACCTCTTTCAGGGACTCTATATAGGGCTTTAAATAAAAGCAATACAACTTAAATCATTTTATGATCCCTCCCTTTGGGACAAAGTCCAGCTTGATCACAGAGCAGTTGATAGGCAATAGATGACCATAGATTATAGGATAGAAAACCAAAATTATACTGTGGATAATCATACACTGCACTCATCTGCTTAAAGTAACTTTTTTTTCCCCACTTGGTTACTCAGTTGTCTTTACAGAATTTTCCTGTTTTGCCAAAACATACGCTGTCGACGTGGAACTTTTCAAAGAAATGAAATTGTAATAAACACAATGGCCTCAAAGCACCATCTTAAACCTTGCTTGCAGTTAGATGGGATGGTGAGGAATCCACAGGTGAAATTCTTGCCCCTGTGGGCTGTGTCCCCTGTCCTGACCAGTTAACACCAATTCAGAAGGTCAGTCATTATTCGGCACCAGATGACGGTGTAAGTGGAGGGTTATGTCTATGTGCTTAGGCTTATCAAAGCTTCTATGAGAATCTGCTAAGATTCTTAGTCACAAAAATAGAAAGACAGTGAGTGTCCATCAAGAGGGCTGAAAAGGATGATCCAGGGAGTCTATTCCCAGGGCAGAAAAGAGAATGGAGGTGGCAGGAATGACCAGGAGGAGAGGAAAAGCCAAGTCAGCCAAGGGAAGGGCGGCAGGCAGGACGGGAAGGAGACACGAAGTTCTCAAAATGAAGGGGATGGGGAATTTTCCCAGATGGGCACGGCTGGGGATGGGCAAACACCTGGATAGTTTCTGCTGCTGAAGAATTGAGACAGGTGAGGTGGCTAAGTTGTGTGTGACGTGGAGATGTGTGAGCACAGGGTCTCACCTTTTCCTCCCATAGAGACACTGCAGGAAGTAGGCTTCTCTGTTAGTAGGAGTTCATAGACTCTTGGGTTATTTTAGTTGATTCTTAGCCATGAATTTCCCTTCATTTTATAAGGTATGATCCCATCACAAATCCCCTGAGACCTGGGCTCTCAATCCCTCCACCATAAACATTCCTACGATCATAAAAATTTCATTCCTTTCTAGATGAACTTTTCAAAATTTAACATCCTGAATCACATTGAAAACATTCAAGTGGGTGAAAGTAATTTGAAATGGAAATTTACAAATTTTGCTAACTTCCCAATGGACTCACCATCTGTGCTTGTGCGATTTTCTCTATAGCATACACAAATGCATGCCCACTTATTTTTACAACTAGAAAAGGTCTTTGACACAAGTGTGGTCAAATAATGTCTCCTCAGTTCTTGTTTTATTAAAGAGTATGGTATTTCAGTCAGACAAAGCAAGATTTGTGTGATTTGGGGCAAGTTTACTTAGTCTCCCTGGCCCCTGTTTCTTCACCTGTAAGATAAAGGCAATAATAATACCACCAATGCGGTAGGGCTATCGTAAGGGTTAAATACATTGTTTTGTGAAGCAACTGACACATGGAGTTCCTGGCACATATTAATTATTAGATTTTAAAAAATAATATTATTATTACTGTTATTCTTATTACTGCTGTAGTTGTTCAAGGGATGTTCTGAACATACACAGAGGATTACATTGATCCCGATAAGTGTCCTATTCGTTTCATTTCTTCTTTCTGATTGTTTGGTCTATCGATTCTGACATCTGTGGCATTTAGCTTTGCATGGACTGCAGATGTGGCAAACATCCCTTCTCTGCCTTCATCAAAGTGACTGATAAAACTGTTGACAGTGACAGAGCACCACCAAGGTGTCTGGGTCTCCCTGGGGAGCTCTCGTTCTCAGATCTTGTTTGACGGATTCCGAGTTAGGCCTTCTAGTCTCAGGTCTTGGAATTTTCAGCTGGAGTTTTCAGTTCCTCAAGTTTTCAAGTTCAAATCTTCAGAAGCAAATTCACCTTCTTTTTGCCTTTCCACCGCTAGCTCCCTCGCTGGGCCCCCGTTTCAGGCAGTGGCGTCATCACCACCCCCACTCTGACTCACCCTTCTCTCTGCACCCTCTCACGGGCCACACCTGCGGCCTTATCTTTATGGCCCTTGCACACGGGCCTTTTTCTTTCCTTTTCTGCCACACCATCCCCATCTTTCCTATGTTTGTCTGGGTCAAACTCCTCAACAAAATGAGGACAATTCCCAAAGTCTCTCTCAGATCTGGTCTCTGAAGCACAGAGAGCACATTTGACATGTGTCACCTTCTCTAAGGCTGCCATTTTGTCCCATGACCCTGAGGAAGTATCCTTCATATATGTAGAAGGACAATGCAATTGGAGCCCAAAGGGGCTGATTTTAATCGCCAGTTGGTAGCTATGAGTCCTGAAGACATTCCACTTCTCTACGCCTTTGTTTTCTCAACTGTCGAATGCAACAAGAGATGCCTTGCTCACAGGCTTATGTGAAAACCAAGTGAGAGAATATGGGCTGAAGTACCCAGAACAGTATTTATCACCTTATACAAGTAACTAAAACAAGTAAACAAAAAGTACAAGTACATAAAACAAATAAACACAACCACCAGCACCTCAACCCATTATGAGTTGTCATTTGCTGTCTCTCTTCCTCGTCGTATTACTGGATCCAACTCCCTTTAACTGGAGTGACAAGCAGAGCCAGGAGCTGCAAATGGGAGGCCCAGCACCCAGTGGTGGAGATAAGACAGACATCCCAGGCAGCCTGGTTTCCCATTCTCTTCACACTGCCCACTTGCAGCACATCAGCTGAGAATCTGCTCAACCAGGCCATCTTGTGTCACACCAATGGATGGAATACTCAGAGCAGCTGCACAAGGACTCTTTCTCCCTGTGGGCAAGCTACATGGGAGCCACATTGCCAGAAACTTCTAGTGAGAGTGGACTTCAGGGTCATCAGTTAAGAAAACTCCAGGCAACTGCCCCATCCACTCTGGGCATAGCTATGCCAGGAAAACCCTAAACCAGAGTCCACATGTCTGAGGCACCCTCTCTCCTGGATCCCATGATTGCTTGGGTACCATGGCCAAACAACTCCTTCCTCTTCACACAACCTGTCTCCAAATGGACTATGATACAATAATTAGGTTCCAAGACCTGAGCCACAATTATATTCCAGCCCTGCCTCCTGAGCCACAATTATATTCCATCCCTGGCACTGGATTGGAGGGAACTGGGCTGGTACCAAACACTTTAGGCACATATTTATAGACAATCTCTTGGTTTTCCCCCCACAAATAACTAACCCCATCTGTTCAGTGAAGAATTCACTACTTTAATTGATTTTTAAAGAGGACCTTACTTTTGCACTCATGTAATGATATCAAGAAATCTGGGCTGTTAAATAACATGTACAAGAAAAAAGAGA